ACGTCCTATTTGGATAGCAGATTTCAAACATATATCTTTTGCAATAATAAGCGATGCGTTTGTTCGTTAAACTGCGTATTAGGCAAGTAAAACTCAACTGCCGAATCTCTGGGGGTTATTCTGTTTACTGCACAAATTGAAGCATGCTAATTAGGCTCGGAATTTGCTCACAAAAATCAGAATGACTGATATTTCATTCTTGCTTTCGAATTTTTGCTAAATTATGAAGCTTGCAGCTTTAATGTCTTGAAAAACATTTTGTTTTTTCTCTTTGAGATAATGCCGATGCTTCCTGAGAAAAATGTCTTTCAATCGGAAATCGTTGGTATGTTTTCATATTTTCACGTAAATCATAAATGCATTATGATTAAAATTTTTCTGTCCGCATGATTCATTTCCAGAATAACAAAAGTTAAGTGAATGAAAAATTCAAATTTTTTCGCGTAAACAGACTTTGACTTCTAGTTTAAAAAAACCTGATTTATAATCAGGGATGCAAGAAAAGCGTGAGCATGGAACCCTAAAGTTAAAATATAGCGTAATATGAAACACATTGTCTCAAATCGGCGTTTTTGCCTTAATTAGGTCGGCTGACAGTATATAAGAGATGCAAGTTCGTAGTATTGTTATTTGTTTTTGCGTATGTGCAAATGCAGTAATTGGCCAACGCACAGGCTGCCCGTGCGAAGACACGTTTTTTGCACAGCTGCCCACAGATTTTTGTCGTTAACGACGCAGGTTTTCCCAGCAGATGCTTTTAGCTAAAAGAATTTCAGACTGGCCGCCAAGACTGTTAGAAAACATTCCTCCAAAATTCTAGTCTTCTGGCTTCTCACGTTCCCGAGTTAGCAACTTGCCCGGAAGAAACTTTCACGGGCCGGTACGTAGCTACAACGTCTACCCGCGCGCAGGTTTGAACTCGTTAGTACCCACTTGGACGGGAAACATCCTCCTAAACGTGGTACCCGGGAGATGAGCTCATTAGTACCTACTTGGACTGGGAACATTCTCCTAAGATTTCAGCACTCTAGCTTCCCAAATTCCCCAGTTATGAACTTATCCGAAAAAAATTTTGGCGTGCCCATACGCGGGTACCATGCTTATCTGGGGGATGGGTTTGAGCTCATTAATACCCACTTGGACGGGGGGTATCGTCTAAGATTTCAGCTCTCTAGCTTCTTAGATCACC